GGATATTTGGGCCCAAAAGTCCCTGTATAGGAAGTACTTGGCCCAGGTACATAAGGTACATGGACCCTTAGGGGTTAATAAGTGAAATTTGGTTTGGGGGATACGGTTCATGGGGTCTTGGTTTTCATTGGGGTTGTGGGGTTTGTAGGGTTTGGGGTTCACAGGGTATTGGGTTAATTGGGTTTGTAGGGCGTATAGGGTGTATGCTTTAGGGCTTATAGGCTATTGGGTTTATTGGCTTTCTCGGGTTTACAAGGTTCATAGGGTATTGGGTTTATTGGTGTATTAGGTGCATCGGTTCATAGGGGCTTATAGGGTTTTTGAGGTTCTAGGTCTTCTAGGGTTTACAGGTAGTACATGAGTTTGTTTCAGGGTTTATAGGTTTTTTTGGTCTTGGGTTTATGGGGCCTTCCCAGATTCTCGGTACTCATTTTGACATCCTTCCATAGGGGAGTCTTCTATATTGGGTGCAGCCCTATTTCGGGAGATGCCCATAGCCCTAAACCCTCAACCCTAAACCCTAAACCCTAAACCCTAAACCGTTTAGGGTTCAGGTGTTACAGTGGCAGGCTTTGGGTTCATAGGGCCGTTTGTGCCGGGCTAGGGTTTTGGGCCACTTGACGGCTGAAAGTCTTGTTGTTTCTAGGGTTTATTCAGGGTTTAGGGTTTCGAGCACAAAAACCTCTAGCGGCGCCCAGGAGCCCAGCGGCGCCGCTGCAGCCTAGGGTTTCGGGTTTAGGGTTCAGGGTTCTGGGTTTAGGGTTTAGCTGCCTCTCCGCAGTCGGCACAGCAGGATGCGCACGCAACGCACCCTGACAAAGATTAGGCCCCACGCCTGGTGATCCCGCGCTTTTTGACGCAGGTGCAGGCTGGATCCCTAGGCCTCCCAAGACTGGAAAAAGTAGCGTCTTTGTCAAAACAGCGTCTTTCTTAAAAAGTGGGTTTTCACAGAGGCACAGTATAGCGAAACATGCTTCGAAACTCCGAGTGGCAAAGAAAGCATGGAAACCGAAAGCCCAAATTACACGATGGCTACATCACGGGAGTGATGCAAAAGCTGATCAAATATGCGGAATGCAATATACTTACCGGAATGGCCCAAAAGTCAGCTGATCAGGTTGCTGTCACTAACATGCGTGCGTTTGAGTCTGCTCGAACGGACGCACTAGGTGGTGCAGCATTATTTAGCATAATTTCCCACAGCCTAGGGGATTTGCATCATGCGTTCGATCTCGCCAGACCAGCGCAGCTTCAACTTCTAGAATAACAGAACCAAAGTTGCAGGTGCAAACTCTGTCGAAAAGTGGTGATCTCATCAGCGCCACTCCGTTTTTTGACGCTCTTCCCACAGACTGCTGTTAGCGGCGGCGCTTCGAGGAAGCATTCAGCCTGGGATGGGTGCAAAATATCTTGGCAAGGGCACAGTCGGCGATTCCACAGGGTGATCATGTCAGCAACTGCAGCCCAGAAGCTTGCGCACGTGTATCCGCATCGCTCGAAGCCTGTGACACAACTTTGCTTGTACTGTCCCAGTATCTGCTAGCCGCTGCTAGCCAGTACATGCTCATAATGGCTTCTCAAGATGCCCCACCTTAACTTGGCCATCTTGATGGCGAAGCCGGCTTGCTTCTGTGCGTGACCGCGACGATAGGCTTCTTAGATCTCCCAAACAGTCAGCAGCATATCTTTCGAAAGTGTCCCGATTAAGACAATACTGTCTAAGCAAGAGGACTGCAACCTTGACACAAGAAAGCCTGGCAAATTAAACTTGTTCCGCAGCCCATATTTCACATCTCACCCAGCAAAGACATCAACCCCATGACCCCTGATGAATCAACTCATTCGTTTACATAAAGCCTGGCCCTAAACGATCAGCTCTGGCGATGGAACACCAAAATCTTCAAGGCTCAGGAGTCATCAAGTCGGGCGTTATTCCCTGCGCAGCACCCTGCAAAAGCGTTGCCTGAATAAAACTTCTACAAGGTTCAGTGTAAAGTGCTCTAGTGTCTGAGGATTGCTGCTGCCTTGTTACCCGTCACATTGCCCAAAGAAAGCCTCTCGACACAGTGCAGATCGCAGAGATTTAGGTCAGGTTGTAAATACATGTACTTGCACTGGCAAGAGAGAAGTGCGCAGAAGTGGCAACTTTCCTGCATCATGGCAGGACTATCTCCCTGAAAATTTAGGCTGGGCGCGTTTAAGCCAGCTCATCATACTTTCATCAGAAAAGCAGTGGTAATGCCGGGGGTTGCTGCCTCAGCTGCTGCGCATTTGCCAAACTCATAGTCAAAGCAGTCTCTTGCTACTGGCTACTTGGCGGCTGGACAGCCAGAACGGGGTAAAACGTGTCAATTTTTAAAGCAAAACTCCTTTTGCCACCCTTGCTGGGTTCTAGAAATGCGACTACATGCGCGCACAAGTTGCGGTATCTCCGGATGGAGTGCAGCATGTGCGCCAGAGCCTCAAAAGCTCACGGGTGAAGGATGAAGAAAAATCACGAACATTCATAGATGAATGGTACTTAGCCTGTAGATCTAAAGTGCTGGAGCTGGCATCTTCCTTGCTCATTGCTCAACCTGAAAAATACTCCGCAAAAACAAAAACCTGTACACGCTGTACACTATTTGTCCTCACTCCTCAAAAAAAACTCGCAGAATGTTTAAACAATGGGCACACCTACGAGATCTTCACCACTGAGTCTGAAACCCCTAGCTCTACATATATAGATATATATATATATAGAGTGTACCGTACTTGGCCGCCAATCAAAGTAGTTAACACAACGCACAGAGACACACACACACACACATGCACACACACACACACACTCGAGGACCCTGTATAGTTCTACCACACACGTGCTGTTACAACATTGGAAACACACGTCGCGACGCTGCATGTTGTTTCTTACATATCTGCGGCCGCGCGGCATGAATCTTCGGAACTAGCCTCCAGGGCGTTTGTTCTGCTGACAGCCTGCTGCAAGGTTGATGGTCAGATTTCACGAACATCATAAATTGGCAGCTGAAGCAGATGCCAATTTATAGAAGTGACGTATATGAAGCTGATTCTGGGATCTTTCTTTACGCCTGCATTTGAACCTGCGACTCAGAAGAACAGGCTCTGCCTATACCTTGACTAGCTACTTGCTGCACTTCATCTTCTTCGTACATCTTGACTGTTTTCAGCACCCTGCATTGTTTGGCCAGCACATAATGTCACAGAAGTCTCGTTGAAGGGCAGCATCCCTCTGAGCCCAGCCTGATGCTCATTCGACACAGCTCTTTGTGACATTCAATGTATTGCAGGCCCTCTTGATACAACTGGTCCGCAGCGCTTGGGGTCCTTGTTTTGCAGACAATGATACGCTGACATATCTGGATGTCATCTGCATACGCATTATTGCTTTGTGATCAATCAATGATCAAAGATCAAAGTAGGACAGGACCCAGCAAGATCATCACAGCACAGGGTTTGGTTTGGGTTTGTTAATTACAGAGTTTTGGGGTTTTGCAACACAGTTTAAGGGCGAAAGGTTTAGGGTTTAGGGCTTAGTGTTTATTTGCATTTCGGGTTTAGGGCATCAGAAGCACCATGGTGCTGCTGCTGAACCTTCGAAATGCTGCTGGGATGCAGTCGCCGGCCATTTCGCTCCATCAGACCGAAAAATTTCGCCAACGATGTCCTGAGGGTCAGGGCACGCAGCTTGCAGGTCCCTTGCTGCATTAGAGGGCTCAGGGAGGGTGGTTCAGGTGTATAGTAAAGCGGGGAAGAACGGGGAGGGCACCTGTGAGGGTTTCCTAAGACAGCACAGGTGATCAGCAGATGGGTTCATGAGCTCGTTGAGTACTCTGTAGGCGCACTCAGAAGCCTCCTGGAAATTGCCTGCCAGCCATGCACGTGTGTCATGTCAATCGACTTGATCCATATCACACAAAGATCTGTGCAAGAATTGGAATGCACTGGCCCAAACCTCATGAAGCGTAACCCAGCACAGTGGCATACATGCAGCTGCCAAGGGTATTCTCTCATCAGCATTGCGACAGCAATGTCCCTCTGCAGCAGAGCGTAAGCATGACGCCAGCCATTCTGTAATGACCCGGCCATTGAAGGCCTTGCAAGTCATCTTTGTTTTGCCATCCTTCTTGATGACCTCAGATGGTTCACCATGTAGAGCCAAATCGATCAAATCGTTTCTCTGCCAAGGTACAGGTACTAACGGGGGCCTTGGGAATTCATCAAGTAGCATGTCAAGAACCTGCAGCCTCTGCAGCCCCCAGACCAGTTAGGCTCACTGCAGGTCCCAGACCTTTTAAGCCCATGCAATACAATCTAGAGAGAGCTGATTACGTCAGCCACACCAAGCTGATGACACATATCGACCGAGGCAAACCACATCACGCTGAACATGGCTCAGCGATGGAGCCTGGCCTGCGTTCTACTGCATCTCGAATGAAGAAAAGGTCGTTGGATGGACCTTTGCCCTAGATCCTACAAGTAAGAAAATGTTCGACATTGTCATGTTGTAAAGACACTTCTATCTATAAGACATAGGGAGCCAGCTGCCTATACATGAAGCTAGCTTTGAAAAGCGAACTGAACACAAGTGGAGCCTGAAACCAAATAAACTCTGGCTAACATAACGGCAATCAAGTGTCCAGGCGTTCGGTGAACATAGGTTGGCTGCACTTGATTCGACGTTGCCGGCAAAACAACCGAAAGTTTGCATAGATTCCGGGGAGCGCTTCCTTGAACGGAAGCTCTGCGTTGTTCCAAAAGCCAGCCTGGTAGAGCATCAGCCTTGGTTGATTCAAAGACATAACCGCGCGTCAGATAAATTTGCATTTTGCACTTTTGTGAGCAAATCTGGACACAGGGTGGTTAGACAATTTTCAAAACCAACGAAATAACAAAGCTTACTGGCATGCGACAAAACTTCAGGCTGCAGCCGTTGCAGATGAAACACAGTCCAAGGTTGAGCGTGTGCATACTGCACCATTTCACAACATCAGGGTGAAAGCCATAGAGCAGGATGAGAGGGCCTCAGGTTGGTCAACCTAAGGAGATTTACCCGAACATAGCCATAAGGGTTTTCGCCAAAAAGCGCACATGAGGGCAGGCAACTCAAATATCAGAACAAGTCCTTAAACTGCGCCTTCAAAGTTTCAACAAAACCAGCCTTGACCTCAACAGTTCTGCCGCGGAGGCACCGAAAGGGTCTAATGTATAACTACACGGGAAAAGGCGCCCCGCAAAACGTGCAAAAACTGCAGTATACAAACCCCGCAGGACAAGCTAGCAAATGCAGTGCGCAGCAGCAGACCACCGCAGCCAGAACGCAGAGCAAGTTGCATCTGCCAAGCAACAAGGGTCATCACCCGGCAAGCGTTCACGCAAGAAACCAGCAGTGTCAAACTCTTCCTGTAGCCACTTTGCATCCGCTTGAACATTCTGATACAGGTCTTCAGGAAGAGCTTTTGCTCTGCGCGCCGGGCACTTGAAACAAATGTCGTGCCCCGTCCATGAAGCTTTGAAGCGGAACGTTTGCTTGTGATACGCCCAATCACCCCGAAGTTCGGTGACTGTAAAGACTTGACCGCCAGAACAGATGGGTTTTCCCACATGTTTTCCTGACAAAGCTTGCCCGTCAATTCCACGACTTGGGTGGAGTCCATGAAACAAGATATTGCAAGACCAGACAATGTGCCTGTAAATCTCATTCATCGTCCATGGTGCTAGGACTTCCTCTTCTCTGATACTAAACAGTAGCCACCGCGAATACCTGGTCCTCGAAGGTCGAAACAGGGGAAGGTTCGCAAACACACCAAGCACCTTGTAAGAACCGAACTCCGTCTCAACTTTTGCAGAGTCACCATACAGTCCTAAAGGGATGTGTCGCTCTGTTGCTGGTGAATACAGTGCCCACGGCTCGCAGACCTCTTCCCGCGAGAATCGCCAAAATTCCCTAACATCCTCCATGTCAATCTTCAGGCCGACAGTGTCAAACAAGTATGCCATTATCTGATGGACAGGAACAACTTCCAAGTCTTTGTACGACCAGCCGCACTCTTTGCTGTCATCTTTGACAGGGGCTCGTACAAAAGTGCTGTCCTTGCAGAAGCCCCCCAAAAGGCAACTTAAGGGGTAATGCGGTAAGGCATGAAACGACAGAAAAAAACAATTAAGTATGATTATGTCAAAATGGAAGCCCATTCAAGAATGCACAACTGTGACTCCCAGAAAATAAGCAGCTAGATCGACAAACGACACAAGTACAGGCAAGTCTCAACGGGTACCTTGCAAAATTTCCAGAAGTCTCTCGCATCGTTCTTGCCAGAAAGCTTGCCCAATTTTCTCAATTCTTCGTGGGCCAGGCTGTTCGAGTCCTGATGGCTGCTTCAGAGGGAAAGGCCCACTGAGCATGTCTGGCCCATGAAGTTGAATGTGTGCACCATGTTTGCGCACTGTGTGGAGAGCACCTGCTTGCATATAATACGCTCGTTGACAAGGCTTGCAAACCTTTATAAACCGTAAGGACAACCAACACCAGCCCCACATCCCTCAGTAACCCTGAGCTGATATAAGAGTCACTGTGCTGGATAGAGGACTGTTGCAATGTTGCAGAAGAGGTAGTGAACCTGCCACTACCAAAGCTTAAACACCGTGCAGGGAAGACACTCGAGCGACTGCGCGAATCGTCTCCATGGCGCGGTGCATACTGGTGGCCTTGGCTTGGAGATACTTGGAGCTTCAGGGTTCCAGAGCCTAAAGCCCTGAACAATTAGCCCATCTCAGCTATACCCTCGGCCTTCTGATCCTGACAAGGACTAGTAGCGAGACAAAGTTGGGAGACAAAGCTTGAGACGTATTGCAGGTTATCGGGATTTCGCAATACGAGATCCTCTCAGACAGTATAGGGCATCCGCTTAAACCCTGGCAGTCTATTTACACCCTAAACCCTAAACTCCTCGCACCTCTAACCCCCAAACTCCTTGGGCCTCTTTGATCCCAGAGTGCATCACTGATTTGACGAGTCCCAACAAAATCTGAATCGGGCTGAAGGTGTTGGGGTTTTGGGTTGGGGCTTTAAAGCTCCGATCCAGCTACTGGGGTTTCAGGGCTCTTAGGACAAGGGAAGGTTTGACCTATACTGGGCGAAGGGTCTTGATCACCATGAGTTTCGCAGGGCGCTGTCGTAGCTTGGGTTGAGAGCAGGTGTTTGCTGGGGCTCTGTTTAGAACAAAGCCGACAATTACATCACACCACTGAAGCGAAGGCTTTGTTTTGAAATGGGCGGTAGACCAGAAAGGAGCAGAAGACTTAACTCGGAAAACCTTTCTGAAAGACCCTCAGGAAAACCTGTCTGAAAGACCCCACCTGACCATGGCTTTGGGCTAACAAATGACCAAAGCCAAGACAAGGCATGCAACTCCAGAAGCAACATCGTCGATAGCCTGCTCGAGGACCGAGGAGCCGTGGCCTGCAAGTCTTTCCTACTGCGTACTAGCTTGTTAAAGGTGCAGGGTAGAATCAGCTAAACATGCTTGCTTGCAAGCAGATGGTACAGAAGGAGTTGCCTATACAGAGTTTGGACAAGTAGTAGCAAAGCCAAAGTTTTATGCAGCGCTACAATCCGCTACAATCTGCAACTGGTACCAGGTGGTCCTGTAGGCGCATACTCTTGCTGCCATGTGTGCAGACAGGAAAGATGCAACCACAGCACACTTTGTATAGACAAAGACCCGCACAAACAGAGTCAGCACACACACACACACACACACACACACACACACACACACACACACACACACACACGCACACGCCCACGCACACACGCACACGCACACACGCACACGCACACACGCACGCGCGCGCACGCACACGCGCACGCGCACGTGCACACGCACACACACCCACCCACCCACCCACCCAACCACGCACGCAGGCGCGCACACACACACGCGTGGGCAAACGCACGCACGCACGCACGCACGCACGCGCACGCTTTGTGGCACAAACACTTAATCATCACGTAGCACGCACGCGTGCCCCCCCCCCCCTGTGGCGAAGCCACGTACGCGTGCACACGCGCGGACACAGGTCATGCAAGTAGTGCAGTCACATGCACATGCACAAACGTACGCACGCACGTGTACTACGCACGCGCACGCGCATGCACGAAACTGTCGATCAAGCCACACACAGACGCACGTAGCACACAGAAACACGTACATTTGTACAACACGCACATGCACTTACACTTGTCTCACCAACGTGCGCGCAGGCCGAAGCGTTTTAAGAAATGCAGCATACAAGCATGCGCACAGCTACACATGGCTGCATGCACTTGCGATCGCAACAGAGTCGTTACAAAATGGCAGCATTGCAGTCTATTGCAGTTGCCCTTGCTTTTCGGCGCGCGATCGCTGGATGACTATAAAGCTTGCGGCCAAGCTTGCCCCGTGCATGAATCCTTCATGCCTCACTAGCACCTAAATCTCACCAGCTGCCTCTGAGCTGGCAAGAAACCCAAAAGCAGCACACAGTTGGATCCTACAGTCAGGTTCTAAGGCACCCAGGGCAGGTCGAAGACTAGAAGTTGTCGTGACATCAGCTTCTTTAGCTTCTTCTAGGCTAGATCTCTGGCAAAAGAGCACAAGATCGGCAGCTGGCATCTGGGTGGTTTAGGAATCCCCTGCCCTGATGCCCGCACCAACTCACGCCAACAAGTCTGCATCGGCAACCCAGGCCGTGTTCAACACAGCCAGCAAAACTGCATCGCCGTTGCGATGAGCATTTCCCTCTGTTCACTGCGCTGTCATTGACCGCATGAAGGTCCCAAAATCATGCATCACTTTTTTGGCTGACGTGAGCTTGTTGGCCAAGTTCTTGAACTGGCCAGGAGCTCTGGAAGATTATTATTTTGTTTTTATGTGACAACATGAAAAGCCTAACCTGACAGGGCAGCCCTTTTGCATGCACTTGAGGCTTCGCTTTTCTATTTTGTTAAACTGGATGGCTTGTCTAGAAATAACCCCCGCCTGACCGGCATCGAGCTGTTTTTGCACGTCATCACGCTCCCGTTGCAGCTTGTTCTTTTGGTCCTTCATCTCAGCCAGCAACGGGGTCTTGACTTTGTCCGGCCTCACATAACTGTGCGCTGCATCGTTTGTATAGGGTTTAGGGCTTATAGGGCTTAGGGAATTTAGGATTTAGACTTACAGGTGTAGGGTCTAGGGGCCCGCGGGTTTAGTGTTTAGGGTCTAGAGACAAGAAAGATCGAGCAAGCCAGGGCCCTGCACCGTCCGAGATTGTACATTCCTGACCCCCCACTCAGGAAGCCATGGAACAAGACGTTGATCTTGTCTTCGCGCACGCAGGCATCTTGGATCTTCAGGTTGAGGGCATCAATCGCCTGCCATGGAGCAATAATGTCTTCAGGAGTCAGGTGCAGCAGTAGTTGAGTTCAGGCGCCAAACCGTTTAAACATAGAGGCTACGCGCAATGACCGCGCAAACTGCACATAGAATATGCATATTGTAGGGGCACGTACCCGTTGCTAGAACAATCCTTGAAGAGGAAGGCTAAAGATTGGCATTTTTCTGAACCTTTTGCAGGGTTCCAGGGTCTACTTCCAAGGCTTAATCTATAAGGTGTGCTACGTCCATGGGCGCCTAGGGCTTGCTAGAAGTCAGCTCAACAGGGCTCAGAGTTTGGAGGCTGACGGGCTTTGGGGCTTGGGGCGCAGAAGCTCAGCACGTATCAGGATTCAGGTTTGAAGCTCGGAGCCCATTTTACATCGTAAACCTTTTTGGGCTTCAAGGTTGGGTCTGGTGCAAAGGACAACGAGCTGGACTTTAACTCCTTGTAGTCTATCTCTTGGAGGTCCAGGTTCCTTCCTTCTGGTGGGTTGGGCACGCGTGCAGAACATGGCTCCGCGCAATGCACCTGCATATCACCTAGGCACTTCGAGACATTCTATAGTCTCGGTGTCCACTACAGCAGGCGCTGCAGCCCTAAACCCTAAGTACTAAACGTTTGATCCTGAACCCCAAACCCTAAACCCTTAAGGCCTTAACACTAGACCCTACATCCTATATATATATATATATATAATGCTAAGACAACCATATTACACACCAGGCACGCCCACCTTCTTGCCGTCCCTGACCAACGACTTTCTCTCAGCAGTCTCTTCCCTTTCCTTTTCCTTCAGTAGCTTCTTCTCAGCCCTCTCCTTCTCCTTCTCCTGCTTCTCCGCTTCCTTCTTCTGTTCTTCCTTTGCCTTCCGTTCAAGCTGCGCAGCAGTAGGCTTCTTCTGGAGGGAGCCCTTGGCTGTCCTTGACTTCTTTTCTTTCTTGCTCTTCTTGGACTTGCTCTTCCTGCTAGCTTTCTTGTTTTTCTTGCTTCTCTTGCTTGTCTTGCCCTTTCTATTCTTGGATTTCTCGGGGTCGGGGTCGTTGGGGCTTGCACTGCTGCTGCTGTCGCTGCTCTCAGACGACGAGCCGGACTCTGACTCGTCCGACGACGAGCTGCTTTTCCTCTTGCTTTTCTTGCCACCCTTTCTCTTTCTCCCACCACCACACACATCCGTTGCCGACATCATCTGGGTCAAAATGTCCTCCGTCTCTTCTTCTTCGATCTCGTGATCGAACACCAGGAAGAGCTTCATGTC